ACCCACACCCGACCTACCCTGCCACCCACGCTCCCGTCGCCCCACCGTTTCACCGCCCCTCCGCAGCACTTGTCACTCTGCCACCCCCGCCGTCTCCGGATTCCCTACTTGTGAATCCCAACGCCTCCCACTGCTCCCACGCCCTCGATGCCTGTGAGGCCCTGCGGGCTCCGAGGCCCGCCGCCCCCGTTAGCTGCGTCTTCCCCGGCTTCTGTCGCCGCCTCTTACCGTCGCCCTGGGGCCGGCCCGTGAAAAATGCATGCGATGCTAATTAAATGGGCCGTTCGCATTTGCATCCGGGGAGCGCGTTTTCTTTTTACGCTGTCGTTTCTCCGCTTGTTTGTTATTATTTTATCAGCCGGGCGGCGCGCGGCAGGTCCGCGTGGCCCGGCGCCGATATGACGCAGCGACGTTGGCGTCGCGGCGCCCCTCACGCCTGCAAGGACTGCGGTGGCCTGCGAGGCACGTTCGTGGTAGGCGTCCGCCTGAATATGCCTAGGCCGCGCTTCAAGTGGGGAAGTTTTTAGATAATAATTGTCCCAAAATTGTGTTCATATGGCACAAAAAATACTTTAACAACTACGTGATTGTCAGCGTTGTCATTTTTTAAATATTCTATGAACATTGTTCATAAAAAAGTGTTGATACATAAAAGCATAAACGTGGCATTATTCAACATTTCTTGACAGAGGTCAACTTAACAGTCGTGTGAATTTAGAGTAAAATGCAAATATTTAATCTGCTCCTCACCCCCGAAAGTTTTGCTAAAATATCCGATAATCCGCCATTATGATGATTTCATAATAATGTCTTTTAAATCACAGCAGACGATCTAAATTGTTTTCTGGTTCAAAATACTAAAGGGTATTGTAATAAATGGCTTTCGAAGTGAAAGTCCGAAAGATTATACACGTTATCCACTTGAAAAAATATTTAAACAAAGCAAAAAACGAAATATAATTCACTACGAAACTGAACACCAAAAAAAGGCAAGTAAGCCGTCAGGCCTCTGAACGCGATCGACTGTGAATGCCGTCCCGAGGGATTACTCACGGCGGATGCACGCGCGCGGCGTCGGCAGCCGCCTTTTCAACTGGCGCTGCGACGGCGCGCGACGGAGGCGGCCCGTCGGCGGCTGCCCCGTCCCCCGCCCTTCACCCCACCCGCTCCACACCACCCGCCTCACCTCCGCCCCGTCCCGCCCGCCCCGCCTCCCGCCCCGTCCCTCCCGCCCCGTTCCTCCCGCCCCGCCCCGCCCCACCCCGCCGCCGCCCCCGCCCGCCCCGCCGCTGCCGCCCACCTCCACCCGCCACCATCCCCACCCTGGCCCTCCATCACGACCTCATCAACCACGGCCCCGCCCAGTCCCCTGTTTTCCCGCCCTTCCCGTTCCCGCCCTCTCCCCGCTCCTCTCCTCCTGCTCTCCCTGCCCCGCTCTCATGCTCTTCCCGCCCTTCCCAGCTCCGTCCGTCCTCCCAATCGTCCCACGCCCGCTCCCGGCCTTCGCTTGTCCGAGTCATCATGCCCCACTTAGGCTCCGCCCGCTCTCCCCGCTTCCGCTCCCTCCCCGCCCCCGCTCCTCCCCGGCCCTGCCCACTCCGCTTCCCCACGCCCCGCTCTCCCTGCCCGTCCCCACCCCGCCCTGCCCGCCTCTTTCACCTCTCCGCCCATTCTGCCTTGTCCCGCCCCTCCCAGCGTCGTCCACCCCACCCCACCCCGCGCCACGCCGCGCCACGCCGCGCTGCGCCCGTTCCGCTAAGCGGCGCGCTCTGCCAGATAAGGCAATGCGGCACGACGGGGCCGTAACGCACGGCTCGGGCGCACGCCACTGCTGGGCCGTGACTCACCACGCTGCGCTCGACAGTCCTGCGTTGAGTCCTCTTCGTATCCGATGCTTAAAAAATGTTTCGAATTGCTCGTTTTTTACTTCTTACTTGCTCACCACTAGATGCTTTCGAAAGAGTGGTAAGAGAATAGGTCCCATGTACACTAATGTTAGCAAGTGAGAATTTCTTTGTAACCCTCACATGTAACTATGCACTCTTTTTAATAAAATGAAATCTCATATTACAAACTAATATATGTAAACTATAATGTTAAGCTTTAATTGAGATATGGAATCATTATCACAACTGATCAATTTTAAATTCTATTACCGCTACGTCCAATCGAAAGGCAGTAATTATAAACTCCTTCTCTAATAATTCTACTTATCACTATAAAAATTAAAAAAACTTCACTTACAATGTATTTTAATTATAAATTCTTAATTACATACTGCTTTGTGATTTATTGGATTTTTAGCAAAAAATCTTCCACAAGTGCATAACCTTCATTTTTAATGTCGACTTGCAGTTTAAATAAATTATTTCTGGTGCTTTTATCTCCCTTCTTTTTGTATTGTAGAAGTTACTAAATATTACTAAGTTATAGAAAAGTGTCCTACTTTTTTGACATCATTAATGGTTTAACTTAAAGTTTAACTTAAAGTGATGAATGGTTTACCTCCGACTCAAAACATTTTAAAAAGCTATCACCTGTTGTCCGCACAAGTTGCGCCTCTGGAGAGCATGGCTTTCACAAAGTTCCTCGGCCGACCACTACGCGCCAGTTCTCTCCTGAGGCAGGAAAATAATTGGGAAAGATTAGGTAAGCTGAAGGAGATTGAAGTTAGAAAACAACTTTTTATTCTCTGAGGAAGGTTTAAAGACAAATCAGGAGAACTTTTCCGGTTACTTAGTAAAAAAATAGAACACAACCACGCCCTTCATTCAATATTAAATTGACAGAGCGGCTATTACCTCATAAGACGGTAATTATGAAAAGACCGCCTAGCTTTCCTAAAAAACAGTTGAACAACGTTTATCTCCGCAAATCAGGGTTTTTCAAGCCGATTCCGACCTCCATAACCCTTACGGAGCATTTACTAAATAAAAAAATGCTTGGCGTACTTTCCATCCGCTCGCTAGCGTTGGAGCGGCCTCCCGCCATCGACCACCCGCCAGTCACTCGCGTTGCCAGCCCAATCGCTGCCGTCCCCCTCCCCCACCGCGCAGCGGCGCTCGCACTCATTAGCTCTAGCCTTTTTGCTCCATTTCCGAGCGCTTCCGCGGGCCCTTGGACAGGGCTCCGGCCGCACTGGCGCGTTATCTGCTCCCGGCAGCCCGCCCCGAGCCCCGCCTCTCGCTGGGCACGCGCCTGCCCGGCCTCACACTCCCACCCGACCCGCGGTTCGCTCGCGACTCTTTAGGGCTTTCCTCGTTTCGACGACCTTCTCTTTTCGAGACAAACGTTTAGTCACTCACATGCTCGCTGATGAAGACGTGATGCCAAACGATAGACATGACAAGTTTCACCATATTCTTCATATGGTATTTATTATTCCTTTTTCGTTCCTCATTCACTGAGATTTGTAAATCAAGAACTACATTTTGGAGGTAACTCTACATCTTAGTTTACTCTAAAGGCAGTATTCAATTTAGGTTTTACTATTTAAAATTTGTATTTTACTACTCCATTCTCACTATTTACTTATCATTCACGATCACTTAATTTTATCACGTTCCACTATTTCATTTTATACTTACTTCCGCTTACAATCTAATTTTTTAGTTGCGCTTTGCCATTTTTCGCATTATATTAATATTGTTTTAAAACATTGACGTACTATTTTCATTCTTCTCACTCACATATTTTCTCCCCTCCAGACCCGATTCTTCGTACACATCATCAAATTATGTACAAATTTCGTACACATCATCAAGAATTTTTCTTCGACAAGCGCGTTTGTTTCCGCTTCGCGTACCCGCCCCCTTCCCTCCATGATCTGCGTACCCTCTCACCTGCCACCGCCTGTCTTGCGGCCGCGCTCCCCGGCCGCTGCCCGCGATAAAAGCACATCGGACAGGACGCGCGCCGGAGCAACGATAACGACCTTCTAACGACGGCCGAGATTTGCCCGCTTGTAATCGCTGCCCGTTATTAGCCGTAATGCCCGGCTGCGCGTGGCGCGAACCGGGCAGGGCAGGGGACGGCGTCCGTTCTGGACGAGCGCAACGGGCGATGGACGGATGAGGGCGTTAAGCGAGTTTCAGGATCGATTTTTTAAAAAAAAAACGCTGGCTCGGTGACCTATACAGCAGCCCTAACTGCCAATTGAGTGGCTGCTCTAGTGCAGTCAGTTCTAAGACATGATGATGTAGTGTAACAAGTCGGAAAATATTTGTTGTAGAACAAAGTGAGGCGGGTTACATGTAATCAGTCGGTTATGTTCTCATTGTTGAGAAAAATTATTTAAGAACATATGTGTAAATATGCTCTTATAAATGATTGTCGTTATCGTGTTGTATTGTTTGATAGCTTGTTTTATTTGTTTGATTTTTAATAACACTCGATACCATTTTTCAAGTACGAATTACCATGACATTCTCCCGTTTCATTCATCTTCCAAATATTTCATTATGTTTCCAATCCTCCCGTCAATATGTGTAACTTGTAAATCTCATTCAAGCATCCTCAACTTTTGCTTATTGTATTACTTATGTCTATGTAATTTGTCGATCCATGTTATGTAACATCTGTTAATCTTGCATGATTTGTTCTCAACATCAATATTACTTGTTCTCTCAAAAACAAACGGTCTTCCATAATTACAGAAATTCCTCCGTAGTGCATCACAGCACAACTTACTAGTCTACGCAACCGTCGTGTGATCATTTCTCCTTTCACTAGATATTCTTTGCTCCGTAGTGCATCACAGCAAAACTTACCGTTCTACGCAACCGTCGTGTGATCATTTCTCCTTTCACTAGATATTCTTTGCTTGCGGCTCTCTCTCTCTCTCTTCCTCCTAATCTACAGCATTCCTTCTGCCCCCGCGCGTTTTGTTGCTGCCTTCATTCCACTGCGCGCGTCGAAAGCTTCACTCGCCGGGCGCTCGGAAACGGGCGCTGCGCCGGACGCGGGCAGAACAAATGGATTAAAAACGGGATTGCGGGCCGCGACCAGCTGTTAGCGCGGCGGCGATGCGAAAGCGTGGGCCGATTGTCCCGCGCGCTCACCGGGGAACAGATCATGACGGCTCGTCGGGAGTCAAATGCCAGCGTCCAGATTGACGTTTCGAAATTGCAGGCTCCGGACATGTCCGTGTGTGAGGAATCAAAATGTGATAAATTAAACACGCTTTTGTTTCTTTCGCGGTTCACGAGTAAAATGCTTTGATTGGAAACTGCAACGATATGCATTAGTTTCTTTGTCGTGCATCGTAATGCGAGGTCAGTGCAGAAATGACGCTCTTTCAAACCAGGTTTAGTGCGTTCAGTACACTCTTCGACTCCTCCTTAATATCATGAATTGATGGCATTATGGCATATTATGATTAACGTTGTTCAAATAAATTCTGACGATAAGATCATGAACTGGAATCAATTTCTCGCGCAGTGAAGTGACGCCTTGCTTGCCCTCGACTTCGGGATAGAGTAAATAATTAGGCTGAAAAATTATTTACATTGCAAATAGTAGCATTACAATAACGTTTAGCTGCTTTAGTTTCTGAAACTGATACAATATCTGAGATATAATAATTCCTAAATTGTTTACATTTAAATGCATTTTGTACGTTAATAATAATAATAATAATAATAATAATAATAATAATAATAATAATAATAATAATAATAATATAATTTGCATATTTCAATTCTCTGTGCAACATGTTTTATTGTGTAAGTTTTAATTAGCACAATTCATGTATAAATATCATATAGCACGTGTAACTCAACTAAAGCATTGTTTGTTATTATTAACTTCATATAGAAAGTTACATTCTTAACTGCAACAGGTTTTCTTTTAGTAGTATTTGGGTAATTAATATTTGTATGGTTATAAATGTGATTAGAATATGTTTTTATAATAAACAATTTTAAGTTTATTGACATTTTGAGTTCATAGAGTATTCCTATGATACATTAACTTAAAAATAATTTACCATAATGAAAATAAAATAATCGCCCTGGATAAAAAACGTTTAAAATATTTCTGTCTGTTTTATAGAAATCTGTACTTTCTGTATTCCCTCATTAACTGTACGAATGACATATTTTCCTCTCAATTTTTGTACGACCGCTATTTCTGTGTTCGCCTTTGCAAGTCCACCCACTACTTTCCTGCAATATCGAGGCTTTTGTGCTCGCTTAGATTCTCAGTCAGTGTGTCTGTGAGTTGACACCCCTTCCACAGCTTTCAAGTCTTATGAAAGAAAAGAATGTGCGTCAAAGTTGGAGAAGCTCCCGACTGGTGAATAAAATGTAAATTAAAATTATAAATTGTATTCGCAAAACTTCTCCGCTTTGTGAAAATCGAGATGACGTGGCGTCTCAACAGATACTTTGAGACTCAAGTGGTATGCCCTATTCTGCATTAATTTTGGTCAGAAGAGTTTATATACGTAACACCAAAGTTAGAGGTGATTGGGATAAGCGTTACATCGAATGTTTGGAAAAGAAATTGTTTTTAGAAAAGGCTCTGCCTAAGGAATGTGTAGTTACAAGTCATTCCATCCCCTTTGAAACTCAATCGATCATTGATAATAGTAAATATTCTTACTAGAGAAAAACTACTGTGCCTCGGCGTGTTTCATAAAAGGCTCGCAATTTAATAACGAAGGTCACTGACTGCAATTTCTTGTAGCATTTTAAAAGTAATAATGATTCATTTAAAACTCCCCTCCTAATAATTTAAATGCATCAGGTGAAGAATACGGTAGACGTTATATTTCCAGCGGTATACATATCTGCTTTTACATTCATCATTCCAAATTTTCAAAATTCAAAACGTGTTGAAAACTATTAAGATGATTATGCAGTTTCATATTTTTTTCTGTTTAATTCGACTTTTTTCATTTGTTACCGAAGTATATAATTTTAATGGTATTAAAATAACGTTTTTCCTACTGAGTAGAGCTTATAATTGTTTTGATGGATAAATATTTATAATAATATTTACTTACCTTATACAACAAATCTAACTACAACTTTCGTTTCGCAGCGCGAACGTGTAAGGAAAGCAACTGTTGCTACCGTGACTGTCAAGAATGGGTCAGAATTTAATCACAGAATGGCCGTTACCTACCGAATCCAGCAATAGAATCGCTGCAAGCCGTCTTGCCCCGCCATTGCAGGACGCCGGCGTCCTGATCGTCCTGACCGCACTGCCGTCCATTCCGCTTCTCCGGAAGACATAAACAACATCGAGTGTTCAAATCTCCCCGAATATCTTCGACCTACAATGTTAGCTCCGACCAAACGCATCTGCGTCTGCTCCCTCCTCCCACCCCCCTGCCACCTGCACTCCCTACGCCCGCCCCCTCACCCCGCCCATCCCGCGCCGGCCCACCGCCCCGCGGAAGGACCGCACTCCAGCTCTGATCGCCAGCACTGCCGGACACACAGCTCGTAGGCTCAGCGCGACACACCGATCACGCGCCGGCATCGCCATGTGCCCCACCGCTGCGGGCAACTCGCGCCGGCCCGTCCAGACTGGTGTCCGGTTACCGCGTGTCCATCTCGAATCTGATCGCCCCGTGGGAGTGCCGTAACCTTCTGCGCGGGTCCCGCAAGCGCGCCCAGGTGGAGCGCCGAGTCGCCGCGCCGCGGAGCAGATGTTGCTCTCGGGAGTCGATTTAAACTTTTCCGTCGCTGAGTGACGATCGTAAAACTGGCGCGTCCCCGCCGCCGTCCGCCCGCTCCTCTGCCGTGGGGCATCGACTCCATCTGCTTAATTCCTCTAATCCCGGCCCGCGCGCGCGGAGCCGTGGCTCGTGTTGAATAAGCGCGACGGCGTAATGTGATTGGAGCGGACTGCCGCCCGCTACTGCCCCCCCCCCCGCCAGTCTCCAACTGCAGCTGGATAAGAAACTACTTCCTCTACTTCGATCCACTGGGGAAGGAGAGAGAGTGGGCGGAATTAGCCTCGAAGGAAGTGCATTCTGAGCGAGTCAGATCAGATGTTCCGAACTCCCTAGTACCTCGCCCTACCTCGGAAGTAAAAAGTGATGAAAAAGACACATGGGACTCAAAGCAAGTAAGGAGATTGTACTTTTGGTCATTTATTGAAGCGCCTAGAGCTTAAACAACAAACTTATTCTTTAGAGAAAAATCTAATTCAAAACCCAGAAAATAATTAGGAAATAATTCAATGGGGAATTTGTCGAATATCATATGCTTATCATTTCCAGATATCAGAGTTACATGACAAGTTTTTGTTTTAAATTTTAAATAAAATTACATATAATAAAAGATGTTTAATTTCTTTCGTAATTTCTAAGATAGTATTTTAAATACTTTAAAGTTATAAAAATGTTTAGACATATTTTTACGTATGATATTAACACAATACTAAAATTAACGTACTAAATGTTTTGAAAATTAATATTTTTAAACTATTTTTCAAAGGACATTCGTTTTTTTCATCTTAAAAGTATTAATCTCTGTAATTGCGTTTAGTTACTCTAATGTTTCTACTTTCGTTTCCGATTGGCACTTGAGTCATAGATGTTAAAGCATTTGTGGTAATTGATTTGTCTTAAGAAATGCCTGGAACAAACATGCTCCCTAAAATTGTCCAGTTTGAAAAATATTATCACTCTTTCTTGCAAAAGTGCAGATTTATGTCTGTTGAATTATATGTGACAAATCATTTTCATTACAATTATCTGTAAGAGCACATCGGAACTACTTATTGGAAATCTGTCGTACATGCTTTATGGTAATTATACGTTCATATCTTTATGTCAAATTTTTGGACGGACAAATTGTCTCCCTTCTTTTGCGAAGTCAATGTCACGAATTTACTATATATTAACTGAAATCAATCGAATTAGAAACATGAGCACTAACTGAACATCATAATCATTACCCGCATTTCAATTACCCTTAAGTGAAACACTAGAAAAGTACTTTGTACTAATTACTTCACCAGTTCAATTAACAAATTCTGTGTTTCAAACTATACTTGCGCATAAGTTGTTTATACGGAAGCCTTTGTATTTTTGGCTCAAAGTAGATCTTCCCCCACGCAATTGCTGTACCTCGAATAGATCAAACTCGAAGTCGAAAGAGCTTAAAGTAAATGAAAATTTAGCAAAGACGTAAGCGCCTTCAATCGTAAGAAGCTCGTCCATCCGAACACAATCTTTGGTCCGCGATCTACGCGCCCGCAGTGGCCGGCGGCGGGGCCGCAGCGCCCTCGAGCGGCGTGGGTGTGGGGCGCCGATCAATGCGCTGAGGAGGGGCCGCGTGTAGTGCCCGGCCGCGCGAGTGCCCCGGGATAATAGTGTGCGCGAGTGCAGGGTAAGCACGGCCGGCGGCGCCCAATTACGTTATCGCCCGGCGCGTTGACCTCTGCTCGTCCCAGCCCCGCTCCCTTCTGACGGCCTGTCACTGTGGGGAGAGGGGGGCATTACAGGTCTTGTTTCGCCTTGTGTCATCTCATTGTCCATCTCTCAATGTTATGACATATCTAATTCCTCTAGAACGTCATTGTACAAAAATATTTCCATTAGAGAAATGCCATCTACCTCGATGACCTTGGAGAAAACTTAACATCACATTATCTTTGCGTAATAATGTTTCGAAGCGAGATTCTGAAAAGTCATGTATTCTGCTTCCCAGCAAAAAAAACCCTGCCCTGACCATTTTTTTATCTTGGCGCTAACGAAACTTTCAGACTACGTTTTCTTAGAAAAAAGGTCTGTCCCCTCTTCTTGACGATTGGTTTTTAGCATTCACAGAAATTATATATCAACGTTTTCTGCAAAGAAATGAAGTACGATTTATACAAGAATAGTTCTAATGCAATAATCATTCCGCAAATGAATTTTATAAATGTTAAGGTTGTCACTCACATAATGTGCACAAAAAATCAGAAGCTGGAGGTTAAAGGACAGTTGTGCTTGCGAAGTAAATTAGATTGTTAAGATTGATCTTGATTGAAAGTTAAAAGCAAAAGCTATCGGAATTCGTTCGTGTAGAAAACTGCCATCGAAGGTAACGTCGAGCCAAATGTGCAGTAGGAACAGTCCTGTTCTCTGTCCACCCAATCCTGTTCTGAGGAATCCCATTGGCCAGTGGCGCCTCGTGCAGGGCTCAACGAAGGGCGGGCCTCGCTCCTGCTCCACTCTTCATAGCCGTTCGCTCGCGCCGCGCCGTCGAAGCCTCGCGCCCCGCCGCCGTCTGCCCCGTGCAGTTCTCCGCGCGCGGCGCCAGACCGAGCTGCATGCGAAGTGCCCCCCCCCCCCCCGCCCCCCCACCTCCGTCCGCCCCCCGCCCCCGCTCGCGCCTACCGCTACGCCTTCCACCACCCCGCCACCGACGCTGCTGTGTGTGCCCCGACCAGGGCTGCCATCTCGCCAGCTCTACAGCGCGGAAGCCGATGACCGAGACACGACTGGGCTGTTAATCAGAATGTGCATATTTTAACTGTGGTGTGTAATACTGAATGAAATAATTCTTTACAGAAATTCAGCCTTGCGTAAATTTTTCATGTTTGAAAAATACATTTATTCCCTATTTATTATGTTCATAAAAGTGCCTTCATCGCACACTTGCCTTACTATGATTCCATTTCAGTAAATATTATAATATTACATTAACTGTTGATCCACTTAGGTAATAAACGAGACTTAATGTTCCTATTAAAATATTCTATGTCACGAGTAAATAGACCCCTCTGTAGCAATTGAGGGCCACTCTCTGTCCGCGGTCACTGCCAAAAAACTATTAACCGAGCAGAAGCTCCGGGCTGAGGCTGAGAGATGGTGACGCTAGTCCCAATCCGCATGCATGTCACTGCCTGCTCTTCTCCCGGCATGAGCGCATGTGCTTGCTTCAACGACCGCTCTGTCCCGACGCAATCCCTCCAACCTAGCCTTTCCCCAACCGCTACCTTGATCAGGGAAGGGGAAATCCATTCATCGGAATCAGGGGAAACTAAATGCCACTTTTTTTAGATTTTTATCATAGAATATCCATTAACTCCCTAACTCAAGCTTTTAATTGCATACCGATAAAATATAGAAAGTACTGCTTCTAAATGATGGGAAATTCAGTACGCTTTCATGGAAGTGAACGCAAAATAAATCCATGCAAAAATACCACAGTCTAATTTTAATCTTTCATACCTGACTGACAAAGCCCCTTAAGTCCATTTAGATCTCATACGTAACATCGGAGTTCTTTTTTTCAGTGTACGGTAATAATAGCCTTCTCACTTCTGTCATTAGGGTACATAATTTTTAAAAAATAATTTAGATTTTGAAAACCGAATATTTTATTCACCTGTATAGTCTAATAAAATGACAATTCACCCAGCAATCCCTCATAATTCAACGTCTCAACAAACTCCTAACTTACTATGAATTGCGTGTGGCATCCAAATTATGTTTGAAAAAACTCTCCAATATACGCATAATTAGGCGTAATTCTAAATATTGTAATATTTTTATTCCATAATTCGTTTCAATACAATATTCGTTCTTTTGTATCACACGAATGTCTATAGGTGAGCTAAACAGAACTGGTCATAACACAAACTGTGTGATATGCAACCCGCCAGACACTAATGTAATATTAGACGACGGTTGCATAATCGATCCTGCAACGCGCGTTCATATACCGTTTCCGTTACTTGATTGTACTGAGCCTCTATATATTAGTAAATATATCATTCCTTACTTATATACTACACCTGTATTCTCGTAATGAATTAATCTCGCTTCAAATTTTCATTGTTCAACCATTATCGTGCAATGGTACTTTACAAGTGCACTCTGTTAATGGTTTATTTTACAATGTTAAATTCGTATTTTCCGATTTGATACTGAAAGGTTCGGAGATAGTAAATCGGTTGTTCGTTTATAGATCGATAGATGACAGCACGCGCAAATAAGAATAAATATAGTCTCCTTTATTTTTCTTTTGGCTTACCATTGGATGTTTTATTCCAAATAAATATTGCTTGATTTATTTAAAAAAGATCATGGCGTAATTAATCATATCTTGAACTTTAATTTAACACGCGCGTATCCTATTTTTATCGCATTCCATCACTTGGTCGTCGAACAGTTCCACTTGTGTTTCAGGAGTTCCTCAGGGATTTATCGACAGGTAATAGATTCGGAAAATTGAGTTTGCTTAAAGTGCCCTTTTAACTTCGCAGTAATCGCCGTCCGCCCGCGATAAAAATATTAACTAATTCGCTATCAATCCCTCGCTGCGCCAGCCGCACCCGCGGCCCCGTGCAGAGGCGGCGGCCGGCGGCAAGCGGGGGCGAGCGGGGGCGAGGCGCACGTCCCGCGACGCGAAGCAGCGCGCGACAAATGAATGCATAATTAATTGCTTAATGGATTGTAAGGCCGGCGACGCCGCGCGAGAAACTGCTAAGTTTGCTCGCGGCAATAACGTCCACGCTTCCGGCGCGACGCCGCTTTGCATAGGAGGTGCCCCGCGCCCCGTGCCCCGCCCACCTCCGCCGCGCTCGCTCGCGCCTCGGGCTGCCTCCCCCGTCGCCCGGAGAAGCGCGGGCTCAACCCCCCAACGCCGGCGAGCCAACACTACGACAAAACCACATTTCGTTTTAGAAATGTCGAAGGAAGGTGGACAAGCTCTGCACTTAAAATACTGAATCTCCTCCGCTCAATCAAGATGGTTTTATTGTATTTCCGACTCTCCATTGCCGTGTAATTTGCCACTAGTTTAACCACTTTTTGCTCCTTAAAATGTTTCTTTACGGTATTTTATAACACTGGTGGCATGTAGAAGCAAATAAGCTACAGAACAAAACCACACAATTTTTTTTTTAACTTAGCACACAGACTGCTTAATAACTACAAAACACACTCGTATAACACTTCAATAAATTAAATGGTTTAACAAAAACTATCTTTGCGAATACTGAAGTATCATAGTATAGTACACTGTATACAAATATCCAGTAGATCCTACAACGGTTTATTGCATACCAGGAGTATCAAACAATTGTTGTTCCAAGACCCAAAATATGAATAACAAAAATTCAATAGCGGGCGGTTTCTTTCTTGGAGCCTTGTCACTTGACATCAGCTGTATCGTAAGAAGATACAGAAAAATATAAACAGTCAATAGGTACGCGCAGTGTATGCGGATTAACACCATCACATATTTTCATTTTTCAATCAAAATCCGAATTTGTATTATTTTTGGATTTTTTACGTGTTCCTGAATATCTAACAAACATATATACAGCTCTCATATGATCGGAGGCCGAAGTTTTCTTTCAATTTGTGCACACCTTTAAAATTAGTAATACAGATTATAAAGGTAATCGGTATTTCATTTTTTTAATTTTGTCTACATAAGCAATATTTTCCGAATTATACATATTAAATATATTTATTCTAAGAGCTCTTATAGGTGTTGATTCAGGATGGTATCGTAGATTCCTAACACTATAATCAATTAGAGCTATGAAATAGTGATATTCTGTAAAAACTATTTACACTCATTTTCTCAGTCTCCTGTTGTACAAATAATAGTTTGAAACCACGTCACCTTGGTAATTACACTTAAGGTCGTTCGTTTTGACGTTATATGTACATTCTGAAATAACCATTTCAATCGAACTCGTAGAATGTTTCTTCTTCGAAGTTTACTGTTTCCTAATAACAATTCTTCAATTTTGGCTATTATGTAAATTCTAATATTTTTGGAGGTATTGATTCCCGAATTAACTTTTCAATATAAAATATTTTCATTAAAAATGCTTCGTAATTAAAAATCTTAGTCGTTAACTTCTCACCACTGATTCTTTGGTACCAAATTCATAAACGTAATATTTATAAAAGAACATAAACTGTGTGCAACTGCATATTTCTGTGGAATGCAAAATGGTGGACCACAGCAGACGCATTACTTTCATTGATCAGGATTTAAAATCAAGGAATTAAAATACAAGGATACTTAAAATGTATTAAATTCTTTTAATCTGTTGCGTATATCTGCCCCATTGCATTTCACTACAACATATATCCAGAGAAAAACTTAAGATACTCAGTTTGTATTGTACAAAGCATTATGTATAGTTTGCTCTTGAATCATGTCCAGCACGATAAACTGTGTCGTTGCATTAATAGGTTAGATTTAAATGTGTTGTAAAATTAATGTATACACATAGAGTAGCTTATTGTACATTATGTTAATGTATTCTTACCTGAATCTTATCTGTAGATGGTAGGTATAAATAGTATCTTTATTCATAGATGTCTAGACGTATAAGTGCACGCAAGATGTACTAGAATCAATCAGTATGTTAGAGAAAACTGGATACTTCATAAACTGCTTGTGGATGTTTAACAAAGCATGAAGTGATTTATAGTCATCTAGATCATTATTGTGAACTGCTTTTCTGGGTGTTGTGTGTCTGAATCTGAAATAATTTAGAAGTGGTAGATAAATATGTGTTATAAACTTACTAGATAATGATAAATTAAAGCCATATAGAAAACCACAAACGTGTTTCAGGTTAGAATACTAATACCCAGTGTCAGTAAAGTGTGTAGTAGATTAGGATATATGAACAAATTATAGTGTAATATATTTGTTTAATAGCATAATTATGTATGAAATTCGGTTTTATCACCTAAATATACTAAACAAGCTGCTTTTCTTATTAAACCATTGAAAACTTAATGATGCTGAGGTCGTTAACTTCGGAAAGTAACAAATGTTTTTTTCTTTCAAGACCATAAGTAAACATAAGTAACATTTCTAACAATAAATAAAATGTAATCCAATTCCGGCTTCATATCCTGTTGCGTTTAGAATTTAGATATTTCATGTTGCATTTGCAGATTTTAATAAATCAATGCCAATTTTCTTCGGAATTTTTGATTTAGCCCTGAAACATATATTTCTTTACATATTTTTACTTTTTCAAATTATTAAGGAAAATTTTTCTTTATAAATATTCTGGATTGCATGGGTCACGTTTTAAAATATTCAAAAACTACATGAATTTGATCTTGTTTGTGTAATGGCAATTCTTTCAACCCATTCAATATTATGAATTGGATTTATTTTGAAGTTAGTCCATTTACACATCGTAGATCTCTCATTCGTCTGGAACAAACGAGACATGGCATTGGGTAGACAGTGATTGATTACTTGCCAGTAAAATTCTGTATGCGATTTGTCTTCGGGTTTTCAACGCAGAAGGGAAAGCTCGTGTCGTATTGAATATGCGTTTAATGTATATTCTGTTATCGTAGGTAGTCAATGAGTATCTCTCTATATATGAACATGTTCTCAGGGAAACATGGTGCTTTATGCCTAATAAAACGCAATTTGTCAAATGAAGTGCCTGTTTTAAAAAAAGATTTGTACAATTTTCATATTTCAGTGTCTCAAATTGTAATCCTATGATTCAGGAATAAAATTGTCGCAAATTTTTAAACCCCAAAATTGAAACTAAAATTTCGTAGATGGTTTCAAAATTATCTATGTTTACATAAATAATATTTATTCACATGAGTAAGAATTTAGCAGAAGGTAAACAGTATTAAATCACGACGTAAGTTCATAATACATCTTGTATCAAAAGTATCAAAATCAATTTAAGGTTTATCCATTGAAGAAAGAAACACAGAAATTCAGGAAGCTAATATTTTCAAATAAATTAAAACTCTAAATATCTTCGCTCAAATTCGTACAGTTTTGTTTTGCTTTGTTGACTTGATATTGATAAATTTATTGTTTTATAATTTGAATGTCTTCGAACGTTGAAATCGACAAAAACACTACATTATGTAAATTCATTAGTATAATTTGTTCAATCGTTAATAAAGCAAAGCCTTCTTTTATAAAAATTTGTTGAAAATGACTTGCTTACTCACTAACCGAAATATGCGATTAGCATCAATTTGTTTCAACAGAAAGTCTTCCAGTGCCGTCTTAATTTCATTCGAAGATTGAAATCCGCTAGTTTGCAACATTCCTGTTGGTTGCTCAAAGTGATATTGTTTCTCAGCGGTAGGCAAACAGTATTAAAATAAGTTCGAGTGACCTTATCTTACTTCCAAACCGCACGTCGTCCCCGAACGGTTGAAGAAGCGGCGCTGCGTTCGCTCTCGCTGCGCTTGCGCAGGAGGCCGCGGCGGCGTGTGCGAGGGTTTGAGGGTGTTCTTCTTGAAGCGCAGGGCGGCGCGCGGGTA